ATTTGTAGGCTCAATTTGTATTTGTACCTGAAAGGTACCTGAGATGTATGTGTGTTCCCTAAAACTGAAGAATGAATTTTAAGAACAAACGGAGGTTATGAGCAGAATATATTTATTGAGGGACTGAAAGCTCTTGTCTGAGAGAGGGGCAGGAGGGATCCCCAAGGGACTTTTATAGTGTAAAATCATGTGGGTCTAAGGTGGAGAACATGGGAGCTTGCTTAGGTGGGTATGAGGTAGAATGAAACTATGGTCAACCAATGAGATTGTAAACACCATTGCTCAGGTAAAATTAAGTCCCGGACCAAATGTTTAAGCGAATGTGGTCAACCAATGAGATTACAAGTACCGTTGCTTAGTTAAAATTTATTAAGTCTAGGACCAAATGGGGAAGCGAGTCACATAGCAAGTGGGCACAAATACAGAGCAGGACTTTGTCCATTAGCTAGCTGATAGCAGTTGGATTAGTGACTCTTCCTGGCTTCTTCAAGATGATGATTAATCCCAGATGCTTATCTTTAGGGAGGTAAGCAGTTGTTTGATCTTTGGTCTTTAGGTCTGGCCCACAGGGGGAGCATCCGTACCTTTTACAGTTGTAAGGTGGTATCTTGTCTTCTGTGTTATCTCCTTTGAGGGCTTAGCCCTGTCTGACTGCTTGTAATAGTTCTATTTAACTCTGCTGCCTGCAACATTACCAGGCATCTTACCTGTGCTTGGAATACAGCAGTAAGCATCAGAGCTATAGTCTCCATGCTTCTGGATCGTATTTTCTGGAGAATGTGCACATTAAAACAGCAGTTGTTAGTTATAATTAGGGTGATTCCTAGCTCGCTGAATAACAGAAAGAAAGAGAAATTAAAAAAGTAAGTGTATGTTTGGACTGTAAGAAAGTAAAGCCATGCTGTTATGTTGAGCTGTAGGGGACTCAGGTCAACAATTTCTGACATTGCCAGTGAAGCAGAAGACCCAATACTATTAAGGGCTACTGGACTCTTTTAGACTATTTTGCTGAGATTACACACCTATAATATTCAAATAACAGAACTTAACAAAAAAAGGGGATATAGATGAATGTCCATTTTGTATCTGTGTATTCAAAGTGGTTAGGATAGATATATAGTTACATTCTCTTAATGAATAGAGGGATTTGTTCTAATGGTGTTTGTAAATAGGATATCATGTCTGCATCTTGTACAGCAATTAACCACTAGGAAGAATGTATGCAATGTGTTAATTGTTGAAACTGTCCTACCAATTTGGTTTGAAACTGTCTCATTGCTATTTGTTTCTCAATAAAATTATGGGAAAAAAAGGAGAAAAATAAATAAAAAATTAAGTATATATAAAAAAGAAAATACAGAAACAGCATAAAACTACTTTTCCTTATTGTCTACTCCTAGAGGTTTCTATGACTGACTGGAATCATAGTGATATAGGGGATTTGAAACTCCTGAACTGAAAAGTACCTGGGACAAGTTCATGTTCTCTAAAACTGAAGAATGAATTCTAGGAACAAATGGAGGTTAAGAGCAGAAAATATTTATTGGGGAAAGAGAGCTCCTGTCTGAGAGAAGGACAGAAGGGGGGCCCGAGTGGGTTGTCCCTGGGAAGCTCTGTCTTCCAGGGACTTCTATAGAGTAAAACCATGCGATGAGGTTGGTCTAAGGTGGAAACGGGAACTCAGATAGGTGGACATGAGGTGGAACAGTGCTATGGTCAGCTAACATTGCTCAAGTAAAATTGGTTAAATCTGAATCAAATGATGAAGTAATTCAAGTAGCAAGTGGGCATGAATACAGAATAAGGTCTCTTCCTGTTGGGGGATAGGTTAGTGACTGTTTTGTGCTCTTTCAAGGTGATTGATAACTATTTAGAATGTCAATCCCTGATGTCCAGCCTTCAGCAAGTATTTGGCTGCATTTGTTTACTTTTTGTCTTGAGGTCTGGCCCAGAGGGAGTGTCTGTCTCTTGCAGAGTTGCAAAGTCACCTTGTCTTCTTGAGGGCCTGGCCCTCTGATTGCCTATACTATTTCTATCTAATTTAGCTGCCTACAACAATAACAATGTCATTCCTAGATAAGGACTTGATTGCTTTCGAATTTCATTTTTAGTTTCTTAGGGGCCATATTGTTTTGTTTTATTTGAGACAGGGTCTCTCTGTATGGTTCAGTCTGGCCTTGCACTTACTGCGTAGCCCAGGCTGACATTGAACTCTTCTGGAGCATCTTGCCTCAGCCTGCTGAGTGCTGGGATTACAGGCATGCACTACCTTGCCTGGCCCACATTCAGTTTGAAAGCATCAGCTGTACAGGCTAAGATATCCACCACAGCACTTGCATCTTCCTGTGCTCATCTTACTTTAATGTCCCTCTTGTCAGATCCTGAAACATGTTCTTAAGTAACTCCTTAAAGGATGAGTGGGAGATAACTTTTTCTTTTTTAGCTATTAAAACATGTTTTTATTCTTGTTTCATTTAATTAGTAGTTCAGCTGTCAATATATTCCTAGGCTGTGAAATAATTGACTCACAGTTTTGAGGGCATTGTTTGCCTGTGACCTTTCTCTCTCCCTGAAAATGTTTAGCATTTTTTCATTACCTTTTTTTTCCTTGTCATTGGAATGTGTCTTGGCTTTCATTATTTGGGCCACAGTGTGTTCTTTCACTCTAGAGACTCATGACCTTTCATTCTAGGAAAAATTGTACAGTCAGTTATCTGTATACTTGGGTTCCACATTCAAGGATTCAACTGAATGGATTAAAAAGGGGAAGAAAAAAATACTATGGCTGTACTAAACATATGTAGACTTTTAGGGGTCATTATTTTGTAAATATTGTGTGTAGCAACTATTTGTATATGTCCTGGGTTATATCTAGATGTCCCCCTAAAGTGTCATGCAGTCCTAGGCAGGACCTCTGAAAGATGATTGGTTTTGAGGGGCATTATAGCCGACTTTCTGTTAGGAGGTTGGACTGGACTGATTCTGAAGAGCTGAGTTCCTGTGGGCATGAGCTGGAAGTGCATAGCTCCCTTCCTGGCTCTACCTTGCCTAACCCTGCTTTTTTGCTGCTTTGCCATGGACTGGCTTCTCCTCTGCCATGTCCCTCAGCCAACATGCCCTGCATTGGAGCCAGGATATCATCTGAAACATCTGCAGACTGTGAGCCAAAGTAAACCTCTCCCCCTTTAAGTTGTATTGTGTCAGTATTGTGTCTCAGTGGTGAAAAAAGTGACTAAAACAATAGAGCATCTACATTGCATTAGATATTCTAAGTGATGTAAGGGACTTGAACACCTATGGGTTTTGGTGTTTGTGGGGTCCTGGAACTAATCCCCTATAGATGTCCAAGAACAACTGTTATTACTTTATTTTCTTACCTTATTTTCTGTTCTTTTTCTAGCCTTCAGAGTTTTCAGATGTCAGACTTTGTAGACTGAATCTACTGATTTTTCTGTTTTCTATTTCTTTGTTTTTTATTCCTTTATAGACTTTCTCACCTTTTTCTTCTAGGCTTTTAATTAAATTTGCTATTTGATCAGGTTTTTAATTTCTGAGAGTTCTCTTTTTGTATAAATAATATACTATGTTTAGCTAACAATCTTTTTAAAAATAAGAGAAGGTGTACGTAATTTTATGTGCTTGGTGTGTTTACTTATTGGTTGATTGATTGAGATTGGGTCTTGCTAAATAGTTCAGCTCACTTTGAACTCACTGTGTAGCCCAAGCTGGCCTTGAAGTGGAGGTGGTTCTTCTGCATTAACCTCCCAGGTGCTAGAATTACAGGTGTTTGTCTTCCGAGTGCTGAGACTATTGTTAGGTAAGAGGAAGGAAAGGGAGGGGGGGATAAAGGAAAGAGGATGAGTATGATCAAAATATGTATATTCATGTGTGAAAATAGCACATTGAAATCAATATTTTATAACATTAATAAAGTACATTTTAAAAAATATGAAGTTTTTCTTTGGGGGGGGGGTCGCTGGGGATTGAATGTAGGACCTTCACACTGAGTTGTATTTTCAGCCCTTTATTTTATTTTTTTATTTTGAGATAGGTCTTCTGAGTTGCCCAGGCTAGGATTGAACTTGGGATCTTCGTGCCTCAGCCTCCCAGACTGTGAGGGTTACAAGCATATACCACCATGCTCTACTTAAATTACCTATCTTGACTTTTTTAAAATTGAGACATCTGGCTATGGAGTTCAGGCTGATTTAGAACTCAGTATAACCCCAGTTGATCTCAAACTCCAGACTATCTCCCTGCCTTTCCCTCCCATTTTCTGGGATTAGAGGCGTGCACCAACAGTCCTGACAACTCTGAGTTTTTGATATTTTGTTTTTCAGTATTAGAATTTTGCCAGTTGTACCTAGAACTGGTAAATTATACCTAGTACATTCTTTTGATGTACATTGTATTGCTAGAGTTATTTTTGAATATTATTCAAATAGAAGAGGTTAAATGCCTATGGAATGACACTCCGCTTAATCTTTTAAATATTCTCATAGTTTAATGTTTTGTATGCTGCAGTGTATGTTATTTTAAAAGTACAGTATGATCCTTGTATCTGAATACCTGGAAAATGTTATCGAAAGTACTGACAGTAAATGCAGAAGTGTAGGCCAGGGATGGTAATGCACACCTATAATCATAGTACTCAAGCTGTTGAGACAAAGGATTTCAGTGAGTTCAAGGCCAGCCTGGGGTATGTAGGGAGTTCAAGGCCAGTCTGAACAATACAGTGAAACCCTGTCTAAAAAAAAAAACAAACAAACTCAAAACCAGAAACAAAACAGAATCTTCAACATTCTGTTTGGTGTCATAGTTATGAAATGACTGGACTGAGTGCTAGGATTACAGGAGGACTCCCTCCCATCTGACTTCACTTTAATTTTGTATCTTACAATAAATATTTTTCTTTTTTGCTTCTTAAGTTAATTCATTAGAAATTGTCAATACTGGGCATGTGGTATATGCTTATAATTTCAGCCCTCAGGAGACTGAGGCAGGAGGATCGTCATGAGTTCAAGGTCAGCCTGGGATACATAGCTGAGTTCAAGGTCAACCTGAATTACATTGTGAGAGATCTTAACTCAGAAAACCAAGGGGGGGGAAAAGCTTGTTATTGGTATATACAGAAAATTATGAGAAGAAATACAAATAGAAAGGTATAACACAATTAAAAGGAAAGCGAGAACTTGAGGATTGGACAAGGAGAGGGCAAGGAGAAAAGCTGGGAAACAGGACAGGGGCAAAACCATACATTTATACACACAAGATGGGCAAGGCACTGATCCTGAGAAACATCAGCAGGTTTTTGAAACTGGCAGTTAATTGGTAGGATTTTCACCCTAACTATGCTGATACATGTGAACCAAGCAACTGCACTGAAGATAGCTATGTATAATAGAAGGGTCATGCTTAGAATGCCTGTCATTCTGGTCTTCTAATTTTTATTTTATTTGTTTTGGTGGATCTGGGGATTGAACTCAGGCCCTTGCGCTTACCAGGTAAGTGTTTATTCTACAAGGCCATCTCCCAGCCCCCATTCTGGTCTCCTAAATATGTACTTCTTGTCATGACATACCAATTATTACCATACTGTGTCACAAGTAAAAGGTTTTTTTTTCTTTTAATGGATAATAAATGAAAAAAAGACACAAGAAAAAGGAAAAAAAAAATCACAGGACTGTCCTGCTACAATGCTGTATATGATTAGATTTTGAAATTTCTGTGTAAAAATATGTAATTGTTTATTCATATTCTTTAAATATTTTTCATTTTTTAAATTTTTATCTCCATATTCTGTAGGGACTTACTGTTTAACATATCAATACTTGATGGAAAATACCTGTTCCATGTTATGCCTAAGATGTTTTATATTCACACAGGTGAAGTTAAACCCAACTGCATATATTGTAGGGTAATAATCAGCTTTTGTTCTAGAGGGTTAACAACCTAAGTTTGCAGACCAAAAATTAGAGAAATAGAAGGGCTGCAAGGACAGCCAACATTTTGGCCATAGCCTTTCAAGGTCAGTGAAGACTCAGTACGTAGGAGAACCTATACTGTAACATCATGTAACTCAATTGTGTCCCAAATTTTCTGATGAAGGAGATTATGGGGCTACAGAGCAATGTGATTGATGATTTAGAGTGTGCCTAAGGAGAGTTACCTGGAGAGAAAACATTCTCTCAGGCTTTCACAGAGAACAAATTGGTCAAGCAATGGCCTTGACTCATCCACATGGCTGACACTGACAAAGGATCTACAAAGTGTGGTACAGGGTTACAGGATAAATTCTGAGTGTACTTGACCGAACTTATCAGATACAAAAGTTACATTTCTTGTTATATAGGTCTTGCTTTATCTTGGTCTTAACCATCCAGCAGAAAAGTATAAAAATGAGGTATATAAAGTACAGCCATATTAATATGCTGAGCTGTGAAAGGCGCAAGTCAACAATTTTGGTGGATAACCCACTATTATTATGAACTGGACTGTATTGGATTGTTTTGCTCAATTCATGCACTTGTAGTATTTAGATGTCAGTGGAATACCCATTTCTGACAGGACTAAACAAAAAAAGGGATACAGAGGAAGGACCATTTTGTGTCTGTATATGCAGAATAGTTAGGATAGATATATAGCTCCTTTCACTTAATTCAGTGAGAAGAAAGATTTGTATTAATAGTGTTTGGAGAGGATATCCTGTCTGCATCTTGTACTATGGATAACCACTAAGAAGATAACAATGTACAATGTATTAATTATTTAAACTGTCTTATTAATCAATTTTGAAACTGTCTTATTGCTTGTTTCTCAGTATAAAAGAAAATTATGCACATCTCGCATGCACAGCTTAGTGAATCTGTACAAACATACCCAGACAACCAGCACTTAAACTGAAAAGCCAAGTACTACCAGCGCACTAGAAGAAGCTCTTTTATGTTTTCTTTTGGTCACAAAGACTCTACCTCAAGGGAACTACTTTTTAATAGTACCATAATTACAGTAGTACTCATTCCTGTGTCTTCGTTCACTCAATGGTATAAGATTTAGTATTATTACTTGTAATTATAGACCATTCATTGTCATTGCTGTAGAGCAGGAGTCTGCTCTACAAGCTACTTCACCCCCTATGTTAAATCTGACCTGTTGCTTGTTTTTTGTACAGCCAGTGAGCTAAGAAAGTTTTTTTACGGTTTCAAAAATTTATTGATTTGGGGTCAGGGAGATAGCTCAGTAGAATAAGCGTTTGTTTGGCAAGTGCAAGGGCCTGAGTCAATCTCTGGTTCCGCAAAAAATAAATAAATAAATAATTTATAGATTCAATAGTACTGATCACAGAAAAAAAAAAAACAAGATTCCTGATTAAGTGTATTCCACTGTCCAGGCAATGGTTATTTTTAAAACTTTTTTCAGTATTGTCTTGACCATGATTAAAAGAGGACATCGTCTTGTGGAGGGCCACCTGAGCAGCTCTCCTTGAAAGAAGAGTGACTGTCTCCATTTTGACTGAGCCTGATCCTATTTCCTTGTATTGTTCTGTACAGAGCTGGCTAGGACTTCTGTTTATCCTTCGGTTGGCCTTAAGCAATGTGTATTGGTCTACCTGTGGTGCTGGTGATAGTCTTTGAAGGTGGTGTGCGCGTTTCCCTGGTAACCTATACCTGCTGCTCTTTAATGTGAGCTGGGTGGAGACAGGATGGTAGAGCTAATGCTCCACGATGCCAGCTGGGATTGAGCCAGCTGGGATCGAGCCTCTAGACAGAGGCTGTGACTTCCTGGGGCTTGAAAGACTACATCAAAGCTGAAGCACCAGACTTACCAAAACATTAGATACTATATAATGCAGATTACTCTCTCTGCATATCCTCTCTGCATATTGCAGAGGTAAATGGAGGCCACCCATCTAGCTCAGCTCATAGTAGTGTCCTTCCCACAATTCTCAGTCAATCCTCCTCAAGCCACTCCCCCACTGAATAAAATTGGGTGAGGCCCTGGGTTGCTCTCTTGATTCCAGAAAGCCATCTTCGTGGCTAGACTTAGAGCCCCTTGACTCCCTGATGATTGAAAATATAATTTAATGTCTTTATTTTCACCATGGATTGCATTGTAAGTGGTAGATTGGAATCAACTTGATGGGATTCCATTAACGTACCTTTGGGATTACAAATATTGGCTTCTTGGACCAAGACGAGGACCTGGAAGTGTCTCCTGCATCGTCTGTGACCTCCCAGAGGGTAAATATGTTGCAGCTCATGTGCAACTCCTTACAGTTCTACCTTGGTCCTCCTCGTCTCCTCTTGGAGTTGTACCTGATTTTATTACCTGTCTTCATACGAATCCACTGAAGAATGGGGTGATTCTGCTTTTGCTTCTTGGCCAGGAATTGTTTGATTCTGAAAGTCTTTTTTTTTTTTTTTTTTTTTTTTGCGGAACCAGGGATTGAACTCAGGCCTTTGCACTTGCCAGGCAAGCATTTATTCTACTAAACTATCTCCCCTGAAAGTCTTGTGAGAAGACATAGTTAGGGTAGGAGGTGAGAGCATGCATTCAATGGTGGACCTGAGCTAAGAAAGTTTTTTTTTTTGTTTGTTTCCTGTATTTTAGGTAAGGGTCTATAGGATGTTCAGGGTCTCACTACTAGATTGGACTCTAGTGATCTGCCTGTTTACAGCCTCCCAAAAGCTGGAATTACAGGTGCACCACCATGCCCAGTCTCAATTGCTGTCTCAGCACGTGGGGCTGGCACGGCCTAAGAAAGTTTTTTTTTTTTTTTGGTGGAACTGGGATTGAATTCTGGCCCTTGTGCTTGCCAGGGAAGCGCTTATTCTACTGAGCCATCTCTCTGGCCTAAGAATGTTTTTTAAAAAACATTTTTAAATAGTTAAAAATAATATTTAGAGACACTTTAAAAAATTCCATTTTCGTTGTCCATAATAATTTTTATCCCAAAACAAATTAGATAGCCGGTAAAGCCTACAGTTTATTTTCTGGCTCTTTACAGATGAAATTTTATGGACCATTGCTAAGTATACATCAGAATATGCTTATTGATTCTACTCTTTTTTTAAAATTTTTTTTGTGGAACCAGGGATTGAACTCAGGCCTTTGCACTTGCCAGGAAAGCGCTTATTCTACTGAGCCATCTCCCTGGCAGAGATAATTTCTCTCTCTCTCTCTTTTTTTTTTTGCGGAACTGGAGATTGAACTCAGGCCCTTGTGCTTGCCAGGGAAGCACTTATTCCACTGAGCTATCTCCCCAGCCCTCTGATTCTACTCTTCATGGTACAAAGAAGCATCCTGCTTTTTGTCTTTTGTTTTGCTTTGTTGAGATACTGTAATCCTCCAGGTTGGTTTTGAACTCACTTGGTAGCCAAGGCTATCTTCAAACTTGTAATCATCTTGCTTCAGTCTGTGCACTGAATTTACAGGCACATGTCAGGCTTAGGATCCTACTTTTATCTCTAACATTTACCTATTGTTTTTGTACTGTGTCTCTTCTATTGAATAGAAAACCATTTTTTAATCTTATAGATTACTTCATTTCATCCTTTTTAAAAACAAAAATTTTTAAAATTTTTTAAATTTGGTACAGGGTCTCACTACGTAGCTTGGACTCATAGTGATCCTTCTGTCTCAGCCTCTCCAGCACTGGGATTACAGGCATGTGTCACCACGCCCAGTTTTAGTGCCTGCTATGCCAAAAGGCATGTGGTGTCAGGGATTGAATCTGGGTTCTTGCACTTGCCAGGCAAGTGCTTAGAAGGCTGAGCTATCTCCCCAGCCCCTTTTAAACAAGTTTTTGTGTAGTTTATTTTGGCTATTTATTTTATTTATTTATTTATTTAATTTTTTAAAAATTTTATTTATTTATGTGTGTGTGTGTGTGTGTGTGGCCAGCTCAGCCCACCAGGGGGCGGGGCTGGCTGGCATGTGGTGCTGGGGGATTGAACCGCGGTCCCTTTGCTTTGCTTAGCTTGTTCTAAGTAGGTGCTTTAGACCACTGA